TGGTTTAGCCGAAAGAAAAAATAGAACTTTACAAGAAATGATAAATTGTATGCTTAATAATGCTAAATTACCTTTAAATTTATGGGGAGAAGCTTTGTACACAGCATGTTATATTCATAATAGGATTCCCTCTAAAAAGTCAAATATAAGCCCTTATGAGTTATGGAAAGGTAGAAAGCCTAATCTGTCATATTTTAAAGTGTGGGGGTGTTTGGCTTATTATAGAGTTCCTGATCCTAAAAGAACAAAACTTGGACCTAGAGCCTTTAAAAGTGTTTTTGTCGGATATGCTGAAAATAGCAAAGCATATAGACTACTTGATTTATCTTCTAATACTATTGTTGAATCTAGAGATGTTGAATTCTTTGAAAATAAATTTTCTGTATTCTGAAAATGTTGAAAATGTTCCTATCCTGCTTAACTCTAATAATATTTCTAGTTCTGATTTTCATGCTAAGGAAACGAATATATCTAAAGAAATATCAGAACCAAGAAGAAGTACTAGAGCAAGAAAAGAGAAATCTTTACCATCAGATTTTATTTCTCCTGAACAAATTATTTTTCTTGTTGAAGGTGATAGGAATAATAATGTTTTAAATAAACATCCTATAAGTTTTAATCCAGATGATGATCCTAAAACCTTTATAGAAGCAATGTCATCTAGAGATGCTTCATTTTGGAAAGAAGCTGTCAATGATGAAATGGATTCTATAATGGGAAATAGTACTTGGATTTTAGTAGATTTACCTCAAGGATCAAAGCCAATAGGATGTAAATGGGTTTTTAGAAGAAAATATCATTCTGATGGTTCTGTTCAAGCTTTTAAGGCTAGATTAGTAGCCAAAGGGTTTAGACAAAAAGAAGGCATAGATTATTTTGATACATATGCACCTGTCGCACGTATAACATCTATTAGAATTCTTATTGCTTTGGCATCTATACATAAGTTATTTGTGCATCAAATGGATGTCAAGACTGCTTTTTTAAATGGAGATTTAAATGAGGAAGTTTACATGGAACAACCGGAAGGTTTCATTCTTCCAGGAAATGAAAGAAAAGTATGTAAACTAATTAAATCTCTTTATGGTCTTAAACAAGCACCAAAACAATGGCATGAAAAGTTTGATTCTGTTATTCTATCTTATGGTTTCAAACATAATAGTGCTGATAAGTGTATTTATTCTAAATTCACTGATAAATATGGTGTGCTTGTCTGCTTGTATGTGGATGACATGTTAATATTCGGCACTAATATGATTGGCATAAATGAGACTAAAGAGTATCTATCTTCTATGTTTAAAATGAAAGATTTAGGAGAAGCGGATACTATTTTAGGGATCAAAGTTAGAAAACATAGTGGGGGTTTTTCTTTAAGCCAATCACATTATATTGAAAAAATAGTGAATAAATTTAATCATCTTGGTTTTAAAGAAGTTAACACTCCTTTTGATCCCAGTGTCAAATTGACTGTCAATTCTGGTAGAGCTGTAGCACAGCTTGAGTATGCTAGTGCAATTGGTTCTTTAATGTATGTCATGCATTGTACTAGACCTGATATTGCATTTGCTGTATGCAAATTAAGTAGATACACTAGTAATCCAAGTGTAGAACATTGGAAAAGCATTTACAGGATTTTTGGATTTTTAAAGAAAACCAAAAATCTGTGTTTGTTCTATAATGATTATCCGACTGTATTAGAGGGATACACCGATGCAAGCTGCATGACTAGTGTCGGAGACAACCAATCCACTTCTGGAATGGTTTTTACACTTGGTGGAGGAGCAGTTTCTTGGGCAAGCAAGAAACAAACATGTATCTCACACTCCACCATGGAATCTGAATTCATTGCTTTAGCAGCAACTGGTAAGGAGGCTGAATGGATTAGGAACTTATTGCTAGATATTAAGTTATTGCCGAGTCCAATGACTCCTATCTCTATCTATTGTGATAGTCAAGCCACTTTGTCTAGGGCTTATAATTGTACATATAATGGTATAGTCAAGCCACTTTGTCTAGGGCTTATAATTGTACATATAATGGTAAGTCTAGACACATAAGTCTAAGACATGAATATGTGAGACACTTGATACAAGATAGTGTCATAACTATTGTCTATGTCAAGACAAATAAAAATTTGGCTGATCCATTTACAAAACCTCTAGCAAGAGAGGTAGTAAAGATGACATCAAGTGAAATGGGGCTGAAACCTTATATTTAAAATCACCAGGAATGGTAACCCAACCATTTACTAGAACTAAACTGGTTAAATGGTTTAAATGGGTAATAACAAGTTTCTGAAAGTGATTGATTGATATTGACGCATTAAACCCTAAAAGATAATGTCAATATTGTCCATTACGGAATAAGAGGATGAGTTATGCTCTTAATGAAAGTCTAATACATTATTGTTGTGTGTTTAAAGTAATGGAAAACACATTGTAGACGTTTCACCTATATGAACTTAGAAGTGGTGCCGCTTCTTAAAAGAGCTAAAGGTTTGTTCTTTAAAGAGTTCATGAACCAGGAATAAGCACAAGGCCATAACAGTGCTAAAATATTAATTCTCATTGAAACAAGAGATTAGTGTATGTACAATATTCTCCGGTTCTATCACAAAGAGTAATTAGTTTAATGTTAAGGCAACTAACGACTTTGATAGAACTTTGAGGTATTTGTACTAAGTAAAGGTTTAAATCGAAAGATACCTCTACATATGTATACTTATCTCATTTTGTACATATTGCAGATTATTTTTAAATATAATACTATTAAAATGTTTTTTCAAACAAAGTGGGGGATTGTTAGTATTTGTTTGTAAAAAAACAAGATAGTCCCACATCGGAATTTTGAGCATTCTTTTAGAGGTTTAAAAGCATTGAATGCTTATTGGGCTTTGAATAATAGATCAAAGTGTAGGCTTCTAAACCCGCGTGCGGGTAGCGCGAATAATGCGCGATTTTGACGCGATTATTAGACGCACTTAGCACTTTGCACGCTTGCTGCTGCCGTTTAAATGTTCTATTTTATATATATATATATATTGAATATTTTTTAATGTTATTTTTGAATTTTAAAAATTATGAAAAGACAAGTGACTGTTGAAAAGTGGCTGTTTGCTTCAAATGGTGTTTTGAAAAGTTGTGACTGTTGAAAACACCTTTTCAAATCAATAAATAGTTTATGTTTTCAGATATCTAACAATTCTTTTTCTGAATCTTTTCTAGCAAAAACATCTGCAATATTACAAACTTGTTTCACAACGAATTAAGGAAAATTCCAGATTTGCTTACTGGAATTTTCATTTTCTGTTGTATCCTGGGAAGAAAATTTGCATTAACCCGAAGCAACTTTGAATATCAAGTGGGAACAAATATTTCTTTAAGGAAAGTGTTTCACGCCTCAGAATTTCTGTCTCCTTCATTGTTTTACTAACAAACAGGGTGTGTTTAGTTTAGAAGGAGTTGAAGCAATAAATGTTGATGGCATTTTCAATTTATAGTGTTTGCGACACTCTTGAATTTAAAAGTTGTTCTAGCACATCTATTGTTGGCTTATAGTGCTGTTGTAACAATCTTTTAATATTACAATAACATATAACCAAATAATTTGAAAATTTAGGGTGTATTTGGCAACATCACAAAACTTGTCTTAGGTGGTTCATGGTTCAATATATTATTTTTATTTTAATAAAAGTTTGAGCTGAAATTGAACTAGCTCTTTCTAGTTCAAAATTTAGCCTCTAAGCTAGTTTTTTTATTTTTAAAACCAACCCTTATATCGTTCAATTTTGTCCTAGTTAAGATAAAACTAGTCTAGCGTAATTCTATTTTGAATTACCAAACATACCCATAAATATCTATGTAACGACATGTTGTTTCAACTGCCAAATGCACACCTAAATTTTGTTTTTATTAAGGGTCTGTTTGTTTGTACGGAAGTAATTATGAAGTAGGTGAAGTAAAAGAAATAGAGGCTATTTCTGCTACTTCAAAGCAAAAAAATATGTTTGGTTCTCTAAAAAACTTACTTTCAATACTTCCTTATATGCTTATGTAGCGCCTACGTGTCATACTTACTTTCAAAATATTTTTCCAATCCTCACTACTCAGAAGTAGCTCGGAAGTAGAAATGCATATTAATTAGGAAATAAATAATTTTTTATTAATATTTTCTTTGTTAGTTACTTCTAATAACTTTTCATCGATAAAATTGCTCTTAATTTTAACAATTATTTTGTAGTAATTTGTGATGGTCGTCTGCCCTCTTTTATTTGGGATAGAGAGAATAGTTTGTCTATTAATTTTTTGTCTAAATACAACGTTGATGTTACGATCAAAAGAGCGAGGGAGGAGGGAAATTGGAGTTTCATAGGAATTTATGGTCATCCTGAGTCTCATCGTAGGCGAGAGGTAAACAATTATTTTGAAGCTATGTGGTTGAAGAATTCTTCTTGCTCTCAAGTGACGATGAGTCATTTCATGAAACTGTTTATAACGAGCTAGATCAAATTAAAAAGCGTGGCGTGGCTTTAAAATTGTGAAAACAACATGTGTCAATTACTTTCTAGTAATATTTCCAAATGTTATCCAAACAAAAAAATAAATAAATAAAAAGAAAGAAGTTCTACTTCCATTACTTCTAAAAATATATGAAACAAATAAAAAAAATACTATTTTCACCACTTCCTACTTCATAGTTTTAAAAGTCACTTCTATAACCTAATTCTTAGTTACAATACTTTCATTATCCAAAGAACCCTGAGGAGAAAAGAAAAACCGCACGGTAGATCTCAACCGAAGTGCAAACGAAACCGCCGCCAAATCAACTCCATTTGGTGGGCCCCAAGACGGTTGGTGAATTTAACCAGTCTAACCCGGGTCCAATTCGGATCCAGCAATCAACATCCAATCCGCATCCGCGGAACCGCGGGCCGTCCGATCCGATCTGGATCCATCCCACTCACATTCCTGAAACGCGTACCTTTGAGAGCCTGAGCAAAATCCAGCAGCACCAAAAGGGCCGAAATCCCTCTATAAATAGCGAAGGACTAGCGAGGAGAAGAGAGCGTGGAAGGGGGTTGAAATCTTTGGTCCCTCTCTCTCTCCTCTCTCTCTCTCTCTTAAGTTTGAGATCTAGGTCGCTATCTCCTTCTTCAAGGTAAGCAGATCTCTGATCTTTTTACTTCAATTTTCTGATTGTTTTGTTGGATCTGGATCGGTCTGGAGGTGATTCGAGACCGTCGTTAGATCTAGGTCCTTGTCAAGTTCAAGAGCTCGATTTCATGATTATTATTATTATTTTCCTTTTATGCGCTTTTTGCTCTTGATTTTGACCGGTTTTGCTAGATCTGAAACACGAATTCTAGTAAAATCAAGTTAAAATTAAGCTTTAAAAATTCAAGTTTTTAAGGTACGTGAGCCTTATCATAATAAGATCCGAACGCTAAAAAAGATTAGACATGCGAGTCGAAAGTTAGTTTTCAGAGGGTAACTTCGGGTTTTTAGTGAAAATCTTGACCGAGAGGGATTTGTAACTCTTGGAAGTACTGAGCTCTTCAAGATCTACTTCCTTAAGTTCATTGCGTGCATAGTGTTTGATGGAATGAATACAGTAGTTTTTCAAGTTTATAATGTTTTTTTAGGGGACAAAAGTTACTGAAAGATGATTGTCTATCAAAAAAAAAATTCTTTCTTTCTGCTGTAGTGGTCGAATTGAACATGTAGTTGCGTAGATCTAGTTAGTAAATGAGATTCTTAGCATTATCGCAGTGTGTACTACATACGTGTTTGGTGATAAATGTAGTATCTATAGCAAGTTGTCGCTTTCTTCTTTGTTCTCTATTATTAACCTTTTAAGATTTGACGTAGCTATGCTCGAATTCCATCTTTTTGCCCTTTTCTAGTGTTTGTCCCTTATACGCTCGATCAATTGTCCGATTGAAGAATAACTTTATTTGTCTGGAATCAAGAATTGTTCGAAGGTCTAGATCCCGCATAATTGGACGAGAATTTTAAGACACTTCACTTGCCAACTCCACATATCTTCCCAAAAAAATTGCCATCTTTGGTTTTTGTTTATAATGAGATAGGTTCCTACTTCTTACTGCTAAACAATCATTTTTACAGTTTTAAATATTTCGCAAGCTTATATTCTCTAAAACTTCAGATCTGACGAGCTTGTGTTGATTAACAGTTCAGAAATGGCCTCTGAGGACACGTTCCTTTTCACCTCTGAATCTGTCAACGAGGGCCACCCCGACAAGCTCTGCGACCAGGTCTCCGATGCCGTCCTCGATGCCTGCCTTGCCCAGGACCCCGACAGCAAGGTCGCGTGCGAGACCTGCACCAAGACCAACATGGTCATGGTGTTTGGTGAGATCACCACCAAGGCTGAAATCGACTACGAGAAGATCGTCCGAGACACTTGCCGTAACATCGGCTTTGTCTCCGACGACGTCGGGCTCGACGCTGACCGCTGCAAGGTCTTGGTGAACATTGAACAGCAATCCCCCGACATTGCTCAAGGTGTCCACGGTCACTTCACCAAGCGCCCTGAGGAGATTGGTGCTGGTGACCAGGGGCACATGTTTGGATACGCCACTGACGAAACCCCTGAATTCATGCCCCTTAGCCACGTCCTTGCTACCAAACTTGGTGCTCGCCTGACTGAGGTCCGCAAAAATGGTACCTGTGCATGGTTGAGGCCCGACGGCAAGACCCAGGTGACCGTTGAGTACCGCAATGACAACGGTGCCATGGTCCCCCTCCGTGTCCACACCGTGCTCATCTCCACCCAGCATGATGAGACTGTCACCAACGATGAAATCGCCGCTGATCTCAAGGAGCACGTCATCAAGCCCGTGATCCCAGCCCAATACCTCGATGAGAAGACCATCTTCCACTTGAACCCATCTGGTCGCTTCGTGATCGGTGGACCTCATGGTGATGCTGGTCTCACTGGTCGCAAGATCATCATTGATACCTATGGTGGATGGGGCGCCCACGGTGGTGGAGCTTTCTCCGGAAAGGACCCAACCAAGGTTGATCGCAGCGGTGCCTACATCGTGAGGCAGGCGTTCAGGTTTCTTATGCCATTGGTGTGCCTGAGCCCCTCTCTGTGTTCGTCGACAGCTACGGCACTGGTAGGATCCCCGACAAGGAGATCTTGAAGATTGTGAAGGAGAACTTTGATTTCAGGCCTGGGATGATGACCATTAACCTTGATCTCAAGAGAGGAGGCAATGACAGGTTCCTTAAGACCGCAGCTTATGGACATTTTGGAAGGGATGACCCCGACTTCACCTGGGAGATTGTTAAGCCCCTCAAATGGGAGAAGCCAGCTGCTTAAGAACTAAAAGCTACGTATCTTTTATATATAGATTGGTTATGTCTATATCTATATATATTTTCTCAAAGGGGGCCATAGGGTTACTAAATTGTTTCCCAGCTTGCTGAAGGCTGGAGCTATCCTAATTGTCAAATTTGGTGTCGCTTATGTTTTGTGTCTCATTGTCATTGTTATGTTTGTTTTGGTTTTTGATTTCACAAAAAAATTGGTGTCTCCTCAATTGCGAGGATATTGTTTGGGGAATGTTTATTGTTAGGAGTAATTATGTAATGAATGATTCAGCATTGTCAATTACGAAAGATTTAAAAAAAATTTCTTTCAATTATCTCTTACTTGTTCGTGTTCCCACTATTGTACCTTTATCTCAGCCCGGTTCTGTTGGTGGGTTTTTGCTGAGTTATGAATTCCGACGCTACATTCCGGTCGTGAATCTCTTCAGTGTCTGTTGGTGGGTTTTTGCTGAGTTATGAATTCCGACGCTACATTCCGGTCGTGAATCTCTTCAGTGTCTGTTGGTGGGTTTTTGCTGAGTTATGAATTCCGACGCTACATTCCGGTCGTGAATCTCTTCAGTGTTTGGTTTTTGATTTCACAAAAAAATTGGTGTCTCCTCAATTGCGAGGATATTGTTTGGGGAATGTTTATTGTTAGGAGTAATTATGTAATGAATGATTCAGCATTGTCAATTACGAAAGATTTAAAAAAAATTTCTTTCAATTATCTCTTACTTGTTCGTGTTCCCACTATTGTACCTTTATCTCAGCCCGGTTCTGTTGGTGGGTTTTTGCTGAGTTATGAATTCCGACGCTACATTCCGGTCGTGAATCTCTTCAGTG